GCGCTGTTGTCGCGCTGTGATGACGTCAGCTACGCGGTTTCGTCGAGCGCCCTTTAGTTGAACGCGGTTTTGTGGTGGAACCACGTGCTTCTTACCCGGATTCATGCTAGTAAAGTAGAAGTTTGCTCAGTAAAACTGCAGCCTTCCCTTACGAACCTTTTAATAGGAATGAGCCCCACATATATCCAGAGTAACCCAGAACTGCAAGGTTAATTCCAACTTTGCATTCACATAGTATGTTAACCCATGGCTCGCTCTGTCTTGGTTTGCTGAAAGAATCAGTTTTCTGTGATTGCATATTCTGAATTATAAACCATAGTTTACAAGCCACAATGGCGGGAGAGGAGTGGTGGCTTTCGTACTTAGGACACAGGGTTGGAGGTTAAGCAAGCCCGCATTTGACATCTTGAGTGCTGCTGTAAGGCGGGTGAGCTCCCATCCTTTGCTCTGGCTTTCATGCTGGGGGCATGAAAGGAACCGCCAACTGAGCATCCCCTGGGTAACGGTGATGTCATTGGCTAATCCTTTCAATCTGGGAGCGCCTCTGTGCTTCTGGCTGGATTTAAGTACCACATTAGACAAAAAAAGCAACCCATGTTTCAATTCTGCGTGGTCCATGAATCTGTCCCAAGTTCGTTTGGTATTGAGACTGGGTTTCAATTAGAAAATCTTCTTAGGCCCCTTACAACAGTCCATCAGATAGAAATTCAGTCGATAGAAAGCACACTGGATTTCTATTTGTCACATATCTTTGAAAATACAGTCGTTTTGTGGGGTGGGGGGAGGGGGAGGTTGACCTGTATTCTTTTAACCAGATTGGCCTAAACTGAAGCCTGATGTTTTCATAGATATGTCCACATATCCTTTTCCTTGATTTTCCACCCCCTTCTTTCAAGATTTATGTTTGTTTTTTTCTGATCTATCAGTTTTCCTTGGGATTTGTGTATGCAAGTACTAACAAGAGCTGGCCTTTCTTAGCATAGGTTCATCTAGCCCACTCCAATTGGGTCTAGCATGTTGGACAAAATATATATATATATCTCCAAAGCACAGCAGGGGTAAAAAGCCTACGGGATTTGCAAATCCTTGAAAGAAAAGGGAGCCTTTGAGTACATATGCATTGAATTTTGTATTGATAATCACTGCTGGACTGGGTGTTACATCAATTGCAAATGCGTTCCAGACTTCATCTAGGGTTCTGTTGAAACTAGTAACATTAAGAAGAAAGGTAGTGGGTGAACTTTTGCTGCTTTGAAGCCAGACATAAAATATACAGTCAGAGCGTCCAAGAAGCAATTATGTAATATTTTCTAACCAAAGAAAAATGTTTTTATACCCTGCAGACATTCCCCATAGAGTCACAGTTCTGTTGAATGATTTCAGCATTTACTTAGTGTTCTGCTTGCATGTTAGCCCAATACTATATCTAGAAAGGACAGAAAAATAAAGGTTGCAACCCAGTTGGCTGCAAAGAATAACAGTGGTGGCTAAAGTGATTCTAGAGACTAGGAAGCCATTCATAACAGTAAGGTTTAAATTCAAATTTGGGTCAATGCTTGAACAGGAGACCCTAACGGGAGAAAAACAGAGCTGTGGGTTAGACTAGGAATCTAGACTGTTGTTCAATCAGTGACAAGTGTTGGTTTAAGATTGTACGGAGGCTAAAAGAGGTTAATTCTCCAGTTGATCAACCCACCCCAATGGCGTGAATCCATATCTCATCCAAGAGAAGGTAATAATGAAACACTGCTGCGTTTTTTGTCAAGTAAAGCATGCAAAGATAGACTCATAACTAACAGGAGTGAAGTGTATGCTTTGTGGAAGTCAAAGTTCAGGTCAAATTTCAAATTCCTTTAG